CAGCATGACCAATGCTATATTTCATCTTGCAACTCAGTGTGATCTGATCCAGGAGAAGCTTTAATATCAGAGAATATTCTAGTGGTATGTTACACAGAACCTATGGAGAGAGTGAATGAGATAATTGTATTGTATGGATTTATTAAATACAAGTACAAGGAGATGCATAGCCCATTTACAGTCTGAAGATCCAACAGTGAGGCAATAGCTTTGATAGGAAATTAAATCAGAATGTCAATAAGAGTATGCCAGATGGAGCATTCCTGTCTTGAATACAAATGTGTTCAGTCTTGTACATTTTATCCAGAACTTTGCAGTTTGTTCTTGTTAAACACAATAATAAACAATGCCAACAATTGAAAGGTATGTGTAATTTGTGAACACTATGTTTCAGAATTACAAGAGTTACTTTCTGGATTATGACCCCCAGAAGTTGCAGGCACTGACAGTACTGGCTGATGTTTGTTGTCCTATTGCCTTCCTTTTCTGGTCCACCTGCTTTGTAGTCTTCTTTGGGATTCCTCCTGCCAGCCAATGCACTCCATTTATGCCAGCTAATCAGAAACTGGCAGCTCCCCCCTCTCTTTCAACCATTGCCATTGATTTTCCAGCCTCCCCCCCCCTGCCAAACCCATGAACCCATGTTGAGAGCAAGATGGGGCCCATGTATATCTAGACTCCCATTTCTGGGAGTTACTGTCTTCAGCTTCGTTTTATTCAGCCTCAAAAAATGCTCTTCAAGATTTATATTTATTTTGGGGACACCCTTAGAAGACTTCCCAGTGGCATTAATATGTTGATGTATCATTGTATTGCTTCCTGTGTTCCATTTTGTAATGATTATATTGTTTATTAATAATTTCAACAATGATTAATGCAGTGTGCCCTGTCATAATATATACAGTACTGTATATGGAATCAGCATTTATGAATGCAATTCATATATATATATATATCCTGGTAAAATGTTCTGTGCTTTCTACCATCCATTTAGATACACACATACCCAAGAGGGTTTAAAAAGATACATATTCTGATAAGGGCTAGAGTTAGGGCTTATCTTTGCTTGACATGTTGTAGTATTTGTTTGGGCCTGAAGACTTTTTAAGCCATTTCTGTGTGCACAAACCTTTAGGGATAGACCAGCTGATCTTGCTTCTTGAATTACTCACCCAAGCTGAAGACGGAAATTTGGTCTGCTTGACTTTCTACCCAGTAACCTTTCACCCACTAAAGCTGCTTGCCCTCTGTTTGGAACTTTTGGAGTAAAGTGTTGAGAGAGGTCTTAGGCTCAACCACTTTGGAGATTTAGATAAAGGCCATTTTATTTTCCCAAATGAAAATCTCATTGAAGGCTGACAAACGTTGCAAAGTTGGGTTATTTGTCACTGACTTTGCCCTCCCAGTCCTGGAATAAAGACGCAAGACAATAATATGGGTTAAATATGGGCCACACTTTATTGATTTAAATTCAAATTCAAATGCCATCCTTTGGCAAAAAGGGAGGGGGCTGTTGTAGTGCGGAAACAGGTAAATGGCAGAGGTATCCAAATACCCCTTGATCAGCAAAAGGGCCAGTCCCTGACCCCAGGTTCCAGTGGTCTTAAAAACAGCACGAACCCGACCAGCCGCTAATAAACACCCCAGACCTCAAGCCATCTTTAGTTGGTGACTGTTGGTCCAGAAGTGGACCCACTACAGGCACGCACTGTAATCACACGATTCACAGTGCCGGGAGGTTGGATGCGCTCACACTAGAAATAGGGTGGGCAGGCACGCACTGTAATCACATGATTCGCAGTGCCGGGAGGTCGGATGCGCTCACACTAGAAATAGGGTGGGCTGGTGGGTGCCCGAAAAGGAAGAGGGCGGCGTGAGCGGGTAACCTTAGGTAACCTGCCATTCCCCCCTCCTGCTTGCCATTCTCGTGAGACTAGCCAGTCACACGTTATCCGGGCTGTAGGACAAAGAGTCTGTTCTGACTCGTCAGCGGCTGCATCATTTGGGTGCATGGCAAATATTGCTGGGATCAACATTTGAGCCACAGTAAAGACTTCCAGTAAACTGAAGGTGTCCATCTTATAACCTTAGGTAACCTGGCATTCCCCCCTCCTGCTTGCCATTCTCGTGAGACTAGCCAGTCACACGTTATCCGGGCTGTAGGACAAAGAGTCTGTTCTGACTCGTCAGCGGCTGCATCATTTGGGTGCATGGCAAATATTGCTGGGATCAACATTTGAGCCACAGTAAAGACTTCCAGTAAACTGAAGGTGTCCATCTTATATCCGATGAACAAAACACAAGACAAAAAACCTGTCTTCTCTGTGTTCAGGCCAATGGCTGGTGGATTTGTAGTTAAATGCAGATAGGTTTTGTGTGGAATCAGTGGAACCATTTTCACTGTTCATATGCGCTTGGCTTTGTATAATAGACTCACTCAGTCATAACTCTGTTACCTGTTTCTGTTACTCCAACATCCCTTAACTTTTAGTACTGAAGAAACAGTACTACAGTTTTCAGGCATGTATCACACATATCTTAAACCCATGTATATTCTCTTCCTAGCAAAACAGATGTGAATGCTTATTTTTACTATGGAATTTAGTATGGAAGATATGTTGAGGAAGTCCTACAAGCAGTCCAAATTTCAGCTAAATTCAGTGTTAATATGATCTGAATGTATTACCCTGTCAAAAAAACTTGAATGCAGAAATCCTCCCCTCAAAATTTCTTAGCTTTTTTCCCCTTGATGAAGGAACACAGTTCTTATGTCTGTTTGGAAATAAAGGAGTACGGCCTCTTGAACATTGTTGAACAGAAGGCAGAAGTGGAAATATCTTTCTACAGTGTACATAGTTTACAATTAATATAGTTTAAATTCAGGAATAATGGATTTCACCAAGATGGGGAAAATTGTCACCAAGAGGCACTCATCTCTGCTTGGACAGGTGTTCCCAACTAATATATGACTTTAAGACCCTGCCTTCCGTTTCTTCTTAAATTAGTTAAGGTTATGGTTTCCCTTAGTTATTCGTGCGAGAGAACAGATTGTTCTTTTTCTATCTAGAGCTTGGAAACCGTACCTCCAGAATCCCTCAGCTGGCATTGCCAGTGGCCAAAATGGCTGGGAAGTCTGAGGATTGTAGACCCCAAAGTAACGTTCTCAATATCTTATTGTAAGTAATGAATGCATGTATATATACCACTGGTGGCACACAGAAGTATTTTAGGTTGGATGCATGGTTTTTATAACAAGGACTAAGAATTCACTCTTCCTCAGTACCTGTGTTTTCTTGAGAGTGAGGTGTACCATACAAACGATCCATCTGTGATATTTAACATGCTAGTGGAACTGCACACACACACTGTTTCTTCTAGACTCCTGTTCTTCCTACCTACTCCTTTATGGCAAATTATAAATATAACAGAATGTCTGTAAAGCTGTAAATGTCCTTGGGTGGAAAAAAGAGGACTGTTTGTTTTCTTCCTGGTTGGATTTGGATTATTTAACAGAGTGATTTGTGTGATGCAGGTTCTGAGAACGACTGTTCTAAATGATCTCTACAATCTAAAGGATGCTAAGAGATTATCACAGACCTGTTCTTCATTTTTAACTCTCAGTTGTGTGGAAAAGTACACATTTGTGCAGAGAGCAGGAAATGGATGATTTGGTCTGTCAGAGCTGGATCCTGTATTCCTCTGTGTATGCTGTGCATGACATTCCTATGGGCTGTATACTGTGGCACTGGCGGCAAGCTGTATCTTTACATCCTTTTGATCATGCCTCTGGAATGCATTCTCTGTATTGTAGTGTTTGCTCTGTTGTTGGCATAAGGTGGGCTAAAGTAGATGAGGTAATAAATAACCTGATCTCAGACTCAAGTGTATCCTCATAGAGAAGGATTTAATATCTAACTCATGGAGAACTGGGTCTAGTGCCCTCTTAACACTGGCCCCTTCTAAGACTTGAATTGCAGTAATCTAATCTTGAAGGTGTTGAACCTCTCAGGAAGAAGGACACAATATCTAACTGGTATTGATCAAGCAGTAAAATCATCTTAACTCTATTGTGACTTGAATAGAAGCAAACATATGTTTATCAAAAGGAGACAAATGGATGGGAGACCTTTGGACAAAGCTGGTGATCCTTTTATATTTTTAGTTTGTGTAACAAGGTCTGTGCAGATGGTTTTCAACCACATATGCCTAAAATTCTATGTTTTGTAAAATGATTGATGCAGCCACTGCACAAGAATAGGGCACTATGGTTTGCGGGTTTATTCCCTGGTTTTCCACTAAAAACCTTGTGAACAGTCAGGACTTGAAAGAATGCCACACTAACACAACTTGTCATGTACTGTAGTCATCCTGTTTTCCTCACTTTGGGATTCTTGTGTGGAAATAAAACAAAAGCAGCAGCAGTGGGTTCCAAATAGAATGCTACCTTATCTGGATATTTCTTCCCTACAAAACATTTCCGTGAAGGAGGCAAGTAAGATGGAAGATTTGTTTGGAAACACGCTATGTTTATTAATATCATATGCACTTCTTCTGCTTTTCTACATTACCTGAGACATACATTAGCTTTGTGCACCAGTCCTACTAGCCTAGCAGAGTGAAGCAGTTGTTTTAGGCACATGTTTTTGTTTGTAATTAAAATCCATCATATTGTTAGTTATTATTATTGCATCAGGAGAAACGCTTATGAGATTTAATGCCTCAGGTGTCAAAAGAAGTTTCATCAAGCTTGGGTACTCTGCAGATTGGCTGATGGGGTAGCCATTTGCTGCTCTGCGGTTCAGGCAGCAGGAATTTGACTAGACTTGGCATCATGCATGTCACTTTCTTCTCACCACACATCTGACTTTACTTACTGTTGAAGAATATCTTGGATATTTTGAAAACAATCAACATTTCCATTCAGAACATTCTTGTCTAAACGATGGAAATCTTATTTGCTGAGCATCCTGATTTGACAGCTGTTTTTTGCTCTCTTTCAGTGGCAGATGAAATGTTGCCGATGTGACTCCAGAACCCCACGATCATTCAACAGTCACCGGGTGGAAAATGTCCTCTCTTCCACTGGACCTATGAGATGGTGGCAGTCCCAGAATGGTAAGTTTTTGTCTTAATAGATTTTCATGGGGAGGGGGTGGAATAGAAAACTGATCTAGATGTGCTGCAAGATGATGTCTGGATTGGAAGTCTAATGACAAGAATAACTGGACTGAGAAGGGCCAAGGGTTGTGAAGATTCACCAAACAGTCTTTGAACTGGAGTGGAATGTGAAGAGGAAATAGATGACCTGGCTGACTGGGGAAAAAAGCTTCTGTTCTCATAGCATCCATAAGATACTACTCTGAAAATATATTTTCCTTCCTTCCTTTCTTCCTTCATCACAGATGTGAATCCTGTCTCTCTTCAGCTGGATCTAGATAAAAAGTTTCAGCTTGACAGCATCCTCTTGGACTTCAGGGTATGTATGCAGCTCTCATCTTATCAATTGCTGTTATAAATTTCAGTTCACATAGCCTTTGCAAGCTAAGGAGAATCTCAGTGTATAACCTAAGTAAGACTGTAGATAAAGCACATCAACTAGCAACTTTTTAAAGCAAGCAAACAGACATTGGGTTAAATTCCACCTAAATTAGCTTAAGTAAAAATTGATGAGCATCCTTTTTGCATTCGATTTGTCAAATAATGATTCTATATCCTCACCCCAGGTTCTTCTTCTTAACAGCACTGACTCTTTTTACAATCAGTCAAAACTATGGATTTTCTAAAAGAAAAATCAAGTGCAAATGCCAGAATTAAGCATAACGTGGAGCAAACAGGCACATCTAGGAAAACTGGCTAATCTCAAGTAGAGTGATTCATTGAATCAGTTGTTCAGTCTTTTGCAAATCCCACTGAGTCAACATATCTATTCTAGGTGGACTAACAATTGAATGTAGACCACAGGAACCTGCCTTATATGAGGCTAGACTATTGAATGATTTAGCCCTGTATTGGGTGCTGCTATAAGCAGTGACTCTGCTGAAGTCTTTCCCTTTGGCAGAAGAATAAGAAACAGGTGGCTTTCCAGATGTTGTTGGGCTGCATCTCCCAAGATCCCTCATCATTAGCTGGCTAGGGGAGACAGAATTTGCAGTCCAGCTAAATCTGATGGGCCACACATTCTTTAGCACTGTAGTAAAGTATTTGCTATATATAGCAAAGCTGCTTTCTCTACTAATATTTTACAGTATGTTCTTTTATTGTGGTATATCTATTAAAGCTTGATTTAATAGATATGGTTGAACAAATTGACTGGCTATGATGGCCGGTCAAAATTTAGAAGTCTCCAGGCCTGCTCCCAAAGACTGTTCTGAGAATTAAGATCTTGTTTTACACCTCCTGCTATGTGTCACATACAGCGTGAAGTCAGGGGAAAAAAAGATCTCCTTCTTCCAGCTTCATAACAGCATCTGTGGGAAAAGAAAAGCCTGTGCTCCCTACAGTTCAAACCTGGGTTAAAAAATGTGCTCTGCCTCTGTGCCCAAAAGGGGCACATTGATCTCAGAACATAGAGGAAGTTCACACACTCCCGTCTGCTGCCAGTAACATCAAATATGATGCAGCGGCTGGAGACTTAGAAAGACACTGTGCATTTACTTATCCAAAATATTTCCATGCCTTCAGTCAGTCCTGGGAGTCAAAAATGGGTGGGGTTCAGAGGAAGCCTTGGGCTTATCTATTTTACCACAATGTGCTTTTTTCCTTGCCTTGGCAAATTTAGCAGGATTCTTAAACACTCTTCAACTATCTTTCCCCTCTTCCTTCAGAGTCCTCTGCCTGTTGGTATGGTCATTGAACGTTCTACTGACTTTGGCAAAACCTGGAAGGTGTATCAGTACCTATCCACAGACTGTGCCAGATCATTTCCACGGATCGCCAGAGGCCTCCCTCAGACCTGGCAGGATGTGCGTTGCCAGGATATGCAGACTCAACACAGACCACCTCAAAATGGGGGGAAGGTATAGTAAAGATTACATGGGTTCTAGAAAGTTCTGAGTTGTGTTATTAAATGTGTGGGATCTCAGCTGATTCATCCATTCCAGTCTGTTTTCTACTGTATTATGAACGCTGCTGTCTTTCCTTCTAAACACACAGCAACAAATGTAAAGCACTCCATTAAGTCATATTTGCATGATATGTGGTATATGTGTGATATGCATTTGTCATCTGGACTCATAATTAATGTGCTTAAATGACAGCTTTGATTGGAGACAATGAAAATTTTATCATAGAAGGGATTTAAAGCAAAGCAAAGAAACAGTCTGTTTTCTACTGTACTATGAATGCTGCTGTCTTCTGTCCTTCTTAACACACAGCAACAAATGTAAAGCACACATTAGGTCATATTTGCATGATATGTGATATATGTGTGATATACATTTGTCATATAGAATCATCATAATTAATGTGCTTAAATGACAACTTTGATTGGAGACAATGAAATTTTTTTCATAGAAGGGATTTAAAGCAAAGCAAAGCAAAGCAAAGCATGCTACTTATATACCACCCCATAGTGTTTCAAGCACTCTCTGGGCGGTTTACAAGTTAATTATGCAGGCTACACATTGCGCCCCCCCCCCGTGAGCTGGGTACTCATTTTACTGACCTCAGAAGGATAGAAGGCTGAGTCAACCTTGAGCTGGCTTCCTGGGATTGAACCCCAGGTTGTGAGCACAGTTTTAGTCGCAGTGCAACAGTTTAACCACTGCACCACAAGGCTCTTTTTCCAGTCTCTTTTAGTCTACCTGAACTTGGAGGCATCAATTCTTGGGGTAACATTAATTTTTAAATAAAAGATGCTAGAGTTCAAGCCTGATCTGAAACTTCTTCTGTCTCATCAAAAAGAAAAGAGGAAAGCTATGGTCCTACACACCCAAGAGTGGTTCAGGGGTTGATCTCTGGCATAAATGAAGCTTCATGTGGGAGGTTTATGCCAAGCTGTCATACCATCAGAATGAAGTTCAGTTTCAACATATGATATTACTATCTCTCTACCTAGTCTGTTGTTCTGTCAAGTGTTTCATTTTCAATAACTAGAAGGAATGAAATAGCAGTCAAAGGATTAGCTCAGCAGGGTGTATCTTGATGTAAGCAGTAACTTCCTTTTACATTTTTCTGGTGCCTTGATAAATGACCAGCAATCTTTATTGTGTTACTTTGATTATGTTGGATGGATGGGTGCTCTCTTAAAAAACTGGTTTTAATATTTTGCATTGACATTCAATAATTCTTGCCACCTTTTGGTGGGTGGGTGGGTGGGTGGAAGGAAGGAAGGAAGGAACATATGTAACCTTTCATTGAAGTAACCACGGTGCACATTGTAACATTCTGCATACCACCATTATTTTAGGGGTGTGTAAAAGGCATATTTTCACAGGAAGATGGATTGGCCCTTTCAAGGGAGGCAAGATGAAAACTCATCCTTTGATCTTAATTGTTTCCCCTTTTGTTCTTGTTAAGATTGAGTTCAACCCCATTGGTCTTGCATCTGGGATGACCATGCCACAAAGTCAAAAAATCAACAGTACGTACATATTCTTGTTTGTGGATCATGGGTTGTAGTGCAGGTGGGAGACTTAATTACAGAATTATAGGAAGCAGAACTTTTCTGGGCACCCAAGTGGTTGATTCCTTTCAGTTTGATTGATAACTTTAGCTGAGAATATAGAGAAGTTATTTTATTAATCTAATGCCGTATTTCATTGGTGATGTTTGTGCAGCATTGCAGTTATTTATCAAAGCTTCCATATGCCAATAGTAGGCCTGATTTCTTAAAGTGGTTATTTGGACCCAGTAGTGATCAGGTCAGCCCCGCCATTACCTGAGTGAGGCAGTTGTCTCGGGCAGTGGAGTGCTGGAGGCAGCAAATCCATTGGCCCTCTCCCTGTTCAGGTAGGGTCCTTGCTGCTCTGGAGGGCTGATTTCACAGGGCTGAGAATAAGGATGCTAAATCCAAGATACACATGTTAAGACATTTGGGAGAGAACCCCTGAGAAAACAAGACCAATGTTATCATCTAGTTTGACCCACAGATACCTACTCATCTCTCTGTCTTTCCTCCCTTCTCTCAAATAGATCTGGCAGAATTTACCAACCTGAGAATCAACTTCACTGAGCTGTCCCACCTTCCACTCCATGGATATCACTTACCCAGTGCTTTCTATGCTTTGACTGAGATGCAAGTGCGAGGGACCTGCTTTTGCCATGGCCATGCAGATCGTTGTGCTGCCCACGGTGCTGGTTCGGAAGAATCCAATACTATGGTGAGGAAGGGGGAAGACTGCTAGATCTGATGATAGGATAAGCTCCAGCCTTTGATTCTGGCAAGTCCTCTCTTTTGCTGATGAAAAAAATGCCCCTGCAGACTTGCAGAAACATCTCAAGCCCTTTGTGATCTGCACATTTGGAAGGAGATGGAATTTCTTGCTATTATTATCCTACAGTTATTGACAAAGGCAGTACGGCCTTGCCACCTGTTCTGTCAGAGCTGCAGAAATAGATGGCTCAGCATCACATCGAGGCCAACAGACTGATCCAGATTGTAACTATGATAAGTGCCAGTTCTGGTGGCAGCTTTTGGGTTCAGCAAGGCTGCTGTCCCGAGCATACAACAGTTTTTCTCTAACAGGTTTTCTTAGCAGAGTTGGCAAACTATTGGGACTCCAGCTCTCAGAATAACCCAGTCAGTGTCCCCACTGGCTGTAATCCAGCACAGTAAAACAGACTCATTGCAGCTATTGCACAAACAGTTATGCCTGAGTTGAGAGCGACCGCACCTACAGAAAATAGATACGAGAATGCACTGGATGTTGTGCATCATTGCAGCACATGGGATGTGCTTTAAATGGCATATTTAGCTTGTTGATCTGCTGAGCAGCTGTTGACATATGAGATCTACAAAGGCATCAGCACAGTTGATTTCTGGCTTGCATAAATGAGGTGATCTGATATAGCATGCCCGAGGAATACCCTGTCTCTATGGAAGCACCTTGAATATAACTATGTGAGTGAACTGAGCAAGACCTCTGCCTTCATCAGGTTAAACAAAGAGATATGAGACACAAGAAGGTTGTAGTGGAGGGAGATGGGATAGATAGTAAGTCTTTTTACCAGCTCTGTTGGAAAGATATCTGCTCTGGAGTTCTGCCATACCATTCTGTAATACATCTAATCTGGTATGTTTCCAGATGTAAACAGGCTTGGACTTGGTTAATACTTAGATGGGAGGCAACCAGTGAATGGTGGGGATGAACAGATAGGGCTATAATGTAATGCTGCCTTGAATTCTCAATTTTTGTTGTCGTTTAGTCATTATGTTATGTCCGATTCTTCGTGACCCCATGGACCAGAGCATGTCAGACCCTCCTGTCTTCCACTGCCTCCCAGAGTTTGGTCAAATTCATGTTGGTAGCTTCAATGACATTGTCCAATCATCTTGTCCTCTGTCGTCCCCTTCTCCACTTGCCTTCACACTTTCCCAACATCAGGGTCTTTTCCAGGGAATCTTCTCTTCTCATGAGATGGCCAAAGTATTGGAACCTCAGCTTCAGGATCTGTCCTTTCAGTGAGCACTCAGGGTTGACTTCCTTCAGAACAGATAGGTTTGATCTCTTTGCAGTCCAGGGGACTCTCAAGAGTCTCCACCAGCACCACAATTCAAAGGCATCAATTCTTTGATGGTCAGCCTTCTTTATGGTCCAGCTCTCACTTCCATACATCACTACTGGAAAAACCATAGCTTTGACTATGCGGACCTTTGTTGGCAAGGTGATATCTCTGCTTTTTAAGATGCTGTCTAGGTTTGTCATCACTTTCCTCCCAAGAAGCAGGCATCTTTTAATTTCATGGCTCCTATCACCATCTGCAGTGATCATGGAGTCCAAGAAAGTAAAATCTGTCACTGGCTCCATATCTTCTCCTTCTATTTGCCAGGAGGTGATGGGACCAGTGGCCATGATCTAAGGTTTTTTTTTCTAATGTTGAGCTTCAGACCATTTTTCACCCTCTTTAAGGTGAAAGATCTCTGGTTTTTCCCTTTCTATTATATTCCTCTATATCTTTGCACTGTTCATTTACAAAGGCCCTCTTGTCTCTCCTTGCTGTTCTTTGGAAGTCAGCATTCAATTTTCTGTAACTTTGCCTATCTCCCTCGCATTTTTCTTTCCCTTCTCTTCTCTGCTATTTGTAAGGTCTCGTTGGACAGCCACTTTACTTTCTTGCATTTCTTTTTCTTTGGGATGGTTTTTGTTGCTACCTCCTGTACCATAGTTCAGGAGGTATCCATAGTTCTTCAGGCACTCTGTTCACCAAATCTAGTTCCTTAAATCTGTTCTTCAGTTCCACTGTGTATTCATAAGGGATTTGGTTTAGATTATATCTGACTAGTGCAGTGGTTTTTCCTACTTTTTTCAGTTTAAGATTGAGTTTTGCTAAAATAAACTGATGATCAGAGCTACAATCAGCTCCAGGTCTTGTTTTTGATGACTGTATAGAGCTTCTCCATCTTTGGCTGCAGAGAACATAATCAATTTGATCTGGGTATTTCCCATCTGGTGATATCCATGTGTAGAGTCGCCTCTTGTGTTGTTGGAAAAGAGTGTTTGTGATGAGCAGCTTGTTCTCTTGGCAATATTAGCCTTTGCCCTGCTTCATTTTGAACTCCAAGGCCAAACTTTCCTGTTGTTCCTTTTATCTCTTGACTCCCTGCTTTAGCATTTATTATTTATGCTGTCTTATATATGTTTTCTTTCATTATTTTTTGCTTGTTAGCCGCCTAGAGTGGTCCTGAGTTGACTAGATAGGCAGGATATAAAATAAATAAATAAATAAATAAATTCCTGTCCCCTGTAATGACAAGTACATCTTTCTTTGATGTCAGTTGTAGAAAGTGCTGTAAGTCTTCATAGAATTGGTCAGTTTCAGCCTCTTCAGCATGGGTGGTTGATGCATAAACTTGGATTACTGTGATGTCGAAAGGTCTGCCTTGGATTCGTATTGAAATCATTTTATCATTTTTGAGATTGTATCCCAGTACAGCTTTTCCCACTCTTTTGTTGATTATGAGGACTACTCCATTTCTTCTACAGAATTCTTGCCCACAATAGTAGATATGATAATTATCTGAATTGAATTCGCCCATTCCTGTCCATTTTAGTTCACTGATGACCAGGATGTCAATGTTTAGTTTTGCCATCTCCTGTTTGACCACATTCAGCTTCCTAAGGTTCATAGATCTTACATTTCAGGTTCCTATGCAGTATTTTTCTTTGCAGCATCGGACTTTCCTTTCACTTCCATTCACGTCCGCAACTGAGCATCCTTTTGGCCTTGGCTCAACCACTTCATTAGCTCTGGAGCTACTTGTACTTGTCCTCCCCTCTTCCTCAGTAGCATGTTGGACGCCTTCTGACCTGAGGGGCTCATCTTCCAGCGTCATATCTTTTAGCCTTTTGTTTCTGTCCATGGCGTTTTCTTGGCAAAGATACTGAAGTATATTTGCGAGTTCCTGCTCCAGGTGGATCATGTTTAGTCAGAACTCTCCACTATGATCTGTCCATCTTGGGTGTCCCTGCATGGCATAGCCCATAGCTTCTCTGAATTACTCAAGCCCCTTCACCACAACTAGGGACAAGGCAGCAATCCATGAAGGAGTAATTCTCAATAGTCACTGTCAATCATTGTTAACAGTTCTAGGTTAGATGGATTCAACTCAACATAGGATAGCTTCTTACATTCCTTTCTCAGCAGTCAGTATGAGCAGCCCATTCCTTCAAGCTGTAGCAGAGAGAGATAAGTCAGGAAGCAGAGCCATTCCATCAGACTCGACAAAGAATTAGTCACTTTATCACTCTTTGTTCTACATGTGTTTTGTCTTTTCAGGTTGTTAAGTCTGCAGAAGGGGACTGTTTTTTTGGTTTTTTAACCTGATTGTATATAAGCATCTAGGAGAGTCTTTTAGTCTAGGGGGTGAGATTAAAGAAGATCACTTAAAATGTGAGAAATCATAACTTGCCAGGGGATGAAATGGTCAGCGATAGTGCCCTAAAACTCCAAACTTATTTGCACTTTAGATTCAAGGGAAATGTGTGTGTCAGCACAACACTGCTGGGCCAAACTGTGAGCGCTGTGCAGATTTCTACAATGACCAGCCATGGAGACCTGCAGAAGATGACAGCCGTAATGAATGCCGTCGTATGTATGCCTTGCCAATGTCCTAGGAAAATAGGCCATGCCTTTGTTCTGCTAACCGTTTGAGAGTGCAACTGGTGGTTCTGAAGTATAATTTTGACCCTTCCAGTCACTGAACAAATTGTGGGTTTTCTCAGTTGTGGGATCCATAGACTTATGACTTAAGATCCAGTGCATGCACAGCTCTGAGTATGTGTGAAAAGAGGTGTGTGCAGATGTTGTACAAACATGCCTGCCCCATTGTTGCTTAGAAACGTTTACATTTTCAAGAAGGAACATGCTGTATAGCAGTATGGACTAGAGCAGAAACAGGGAATGTGTGGCCCTCTGGATGTTGAATTGCAGCATCCTCTTGCCAGTGTAGGCTATACTGGCTAAGGCTATCAGGATCTCTAATCCAACAATATTTTGAAGGCCTAATGTCTGTACTCCTAATATAAACTCTGATTCAGATTAGATGGATCTAAAGAGGGAGACCAAAGCACCATCTAGTGGAGAAACCGATGAATTAAGTAAAGGCCATTGTTTTCATTCTTAGCTTCACATAAGGAATGGTTTGTCACTTTCCCCTGCAGGGTGCAACTGTAATGGACATTCCAACAAGTGTCACTTTGACCCAGCTGTGTACCAAGCCAATGGAGGAAGGAGTGGCGGTGTGTGTGAAGACTGCCAGCACAATACAGCAGGGAGGAGCTGTGAGCACTGCAAGACCAACTTTTTCCGTAATCGGCGCTATGATCTGAGCCACCCAGAAGCTTGCCTCCGTAAGTGGTGCTCAAGTGTTTTTTTAATGGTTCATAACAATTTTCTTCAAAATCTCTTTTATTTATTTCATTCAGATGCATGCCCTGTGTAGAGCATGGGAAAGTTCCTTTTTACTAGCTATGCTGGCCGGAGAATTCTGCGAGTCGTAGTACTCCGTTTTCTGAGCTCTGAAACTGCCCTGTTCCAAGAGTTCTTTCTTGGGTAAAATGGTTGTGCCTTCCTGTCCTCTTTGTTTCTTTAGCTAATTCTCTCTGCAGGTTAAAAAATGAATAGTGAGGAGCATTCTTTGGTCTAGTACATTATAGCAAGTGTAAAAATCAGTCAGTGCAGCTGAACTCTGGCTCTTTCCACCAGATTGAACTGCTGGATAGCTCAATAGTTCAGGTATCTGGCTGCAGAGCCAGAGGTTGGGAGTTTAATTCCCCACTGTACCACGAGAATAGAGTCGGACTCAGTGATCCATAGGGTCCCTTCCAGTTCTGTAGTTCTAAGATTATTATTAAGTCTTGCCTTTTGCCTTCCAGTCTCTGCCATCAAGGCCTGCCCTGGGTACCAAGTTGCTTTTTCTTTAAAATCCGAAGGTTTTGCATTCCTACCTGCAAAGGGAGAGGCAAATAAAAGAAATAAGGACAGTGTTTCTAAAATGCTCTTGATTTGCCGTCTTCTCTTTCTTCTTGCTTTTCAAAAGCTTGTGAATGTGACCCAGATGGCACCGTCCCTGGTTCTAGCTGTGACCCTATGAATGGCCGCTGTGTCTGTAAGGACAATGTTCAAGGAGACCGTTGCCATCTGTGCAAGCCTGGATTCACCCAGTTAACCAATTTGAACCCTCAAGGTTGCAGAGGTGAGTGAAGCTTCCAAACAGATCATGAAACTGAGGATACAACTACAGTATGAGATTTGCTCCAGGTGTAATACTGACAAATTTGTAAGTTTTTTAACTGATCAGATGATGCAAAGTCCAATTCAAAGCAGTTCCTGATGCAGTTCCTCTCTCATGGGGGTGGGGGTGGGGGTGGTTCTACTTTTTCCAGTCTGGAATGAATGATTGGAACATATTTTCCCCCAAATGATCAGTTTTGTTGCACAGAAAGACAGGAGGTGTGACTTGGTGGTATTCTGGTGCCGTACTAAGTTGAGCATGATGTTTTGGACAGCAGGAACACTGATCCCTGGGAGAAGTTGCCCCCCAAGATTTTTTTTAATGTAACCTCCAAGTAGACTGCTAGTGTGCATGGACCCCTCCAAAAAGGATAAAAAACAACATTAAATAGAAACAACTCTAATGAACTACGGAATACTATGTTTCTGCAGTATATGTATATATGTTTGTACATTATGGTGAACTTTGGAACACTGTCTCATTTCCATAATGCTGTGAAAACCTTTAAATAACCCACTGACTTTACGATGAACCATAGAAGAGGAAGCTGTTTTAGTCGGTGCATGCATTATAGTAGAGATGGGAATATTCATGTTTGTAAACTAATACAAATATTCCTGTCCCAGCTGGACCTAATGAGGGTCCAGCCCCTGGGACCAGACTGTCCATTCATGCATGCCGGTACTATGAAGTTCCCACTTTTCTCACCAATGGCATCAGGATTTCTACTGTCTCACTGCTCAGCTGGCCACTCAGCAGCCACAAGGGGAGACTTTTGTTCTCCCATTCCCTGCCTAGAGTGGCCAGCCAAGCTGGGAAATAATGGAGCTCCTCACGCCATTGGCTGGCAGAGTGGGACCTTTGTGGTGCTAGGCTGTGTGAGTTGACGGTCTGGTCCTGGATGGCCAGACCCTCATTAGGTCCAGCTGGGACAGGGGATATTTGTATTCATTTATAAATACGAATATCCCCACCTCTAATTATAGGTCAAAGCAAAATAGAAATAAAAAGTGAAAAGAAGCAAAATGTGGTGGCACCTTAAATACTAACTTTGATATTTTATAACATGGTAATATAATATAAAAGCTAAAACAGGCTGCAAATCAAGCCTCAGCAAAGCAGAATTGCTCCAATTTGTCTTTACAAAGTTGAAAATTATGCAGAGAGAGAACTGTGATGGTCATAAAAAGAATCCAAAACTCCATACGAGGGGCAACCAAAAATAAATAAAAAGTGTACAAGTTTTGGGAACTACAGATCCCTTTTGTAGGCAAAATGTTACAAAAGCAAGCAGGACAGGGATTGTTGAGATAGCTCAGAATGTCCCTTAAGTGCTTTATTTCAGTTAACTGCCTGTTCTGGTGACATCACCCACCTGAAAAGGAAAAAAAATGCTTTCCTGTTGCAGGAGGAAAATGCAGATGTTCAAACGTTCTCAGCTTGAACAAAACGAATTGATTTGGAACAAGAATGGCTTGCGTTAGTCGAAGGGCTGTCATGAAGCCCTTGTTAAACTGCCTCCTGCTGCCCCATTCTGAAAACGCAAGGCAATCCATCTGAGAAATAGATGGGAACAGCAACTCTTTTTCAGCAGAGCCCGCTGTTTTCACCAATGTCGAGCCTGATAGCCCTAGAAGGCTTGAAACAGGGCATGACACATCATCATTTCCTGTGGTTTGTTCTTAGCAGAACTCGGAATAGTCACATTTCTGGACTCCAGTTTCTAGAATCCTCCAGCCAGCTGGCCACCAGAGGATTCTGGGAATTGTAGTCTGAAAAGAATAATGTTCACCAGTTCTAGTTCTCAGCACTTTATGATCAAAGATTTGATCCTTTGAAGAGCCAGATGTTAACTATTATGCTTACCCTTGGAGCCAATGGCTGGCATATTTTCTAATGGCTAATAGTACTATATGGTAGCATTTATACTGTATAGTGGGTGAAGAAATACTTAATTTGATTTTGCTTTGGAACCTAAAACAAATCAATGTATCGGATGACCCTATATCCTACTATTTTGGGAGAGAAAAAATTGACCTGTGTCCAATTTCTCCACATTGTTTGTAGCTTAGTAAACCAGTGGTTAGACTGCAAAACTGCAGTGAAGACTCTGCTCGTGACTTGAGTTTGATCTCGGGTTTTTCATCAGGTCTTGACTCAGCCTTTCATCCTTCTGAGATCAGTAAATTAAGTAGCCAGCTTGCGGTGGGGGAGGCAATGAATAGCTTACATAATTAAATTTTAAACCACCCAGAGAGTGCTTTAAGCAGAACAATTTGCTTTTCTTTTATATAATTGTCCCTTAGAAATTAAAAGCGGAACTAGTGGACCTGTCCCTGTCCCCCAACATGTACTCAAAAAGAATTTTAAATGCCCTGGAATGTTTATTTTCAGCCAGATTTCTTCTGCCAGGTCCTGTTGCTGAGAATATTGTGGCCTATGGCTCCAGCTTAGCTTTATCTTGCTAAACTAATCTTGCTTCTGCACATGAAGCCTTTATATCCACCTCTGATTTCTCAGTACCAGTCTTTCAAAGGCTGCTTTTGTTTTGGATTGAAATGAAACTTAAGTCTCACCAGCAAGCTGCTATATCTGGTAAACTATACTATTGGCCTTCACCTGCTTCTTAGCAGGTGACAATAGATGGTTTGTTAAACTGGATCCAGAAAAATAATGGCAGCAGAAGACAGAAAGTAAAGTACCTATACTCATAAGGATCTTGACATTTAATGTTAAAAACTTTGAAGGGAAATAAAGGAGAAGGTAGATAGTGACACTTGCAATTCTGGGAATCAGGGTTCAAAAGACTAAATTTTATAAGTTCTCGGGACTAATTCCTTCCTAAAGGCATTAAAATTGGTGGCCATCCCCCGTATTTTATGGCATTGAAATCATGAATTTCATTGTGTGAAGAAGTGGGAGATGGGAAACTGTCCTCTGTTTGCTATCTGAAGTGGCACAATCCAGAAGTTTGCCACTTATTTCCTTTTATTTATTCTCCTGATAAGGAGACACAAGGCAGATGCTGTCTGCCACAGCATACTGAATCCTGGATGGCAAGCTGTTTGATGGCTTCTCCTGACCCCCTGACAGTTTTGATAAGAATGCTGACTGCTTCACTTTTCAGATTGCGCCTGTAGCATCTTGGGCACCCGCAGCAACATGCCATGTGATGATGAAACAGGGCGCTGCTTCTGCCTCCCCAACGTGGTGGGAGCGAAGTGTGATGCATGCGCTGTGAATCACTGGAAAATTGCCAGTGGCGAGGGCTGCCAACCCTGCAACTGTAACCCTCAGAATTCTCTCGGCCTTCAATGCAACCAGGTACTAGCCAGGAAGAGCTAACAATGCAGTAGCACAGAGTTTTTGAATGTAGGTCAGCAGTATGAAACTCGGCATGAGCCAGTATAGCTGAGCCATTGCTACGTGCAGCACTTACAGGACCAGAGAAGGCTTTTACTAGCCCCTCCTTCATTCATGGAATTTTTCATTGGGTTACTGGGATGCAGATACATTTTCCTGCTTTATCTGTCTTTAGCATGAACAATCTATTTAGGAGACTATGGCAAAATACCTGCAAGGTTACTATAATAATAATTGCATGTCATCAAGTCAATTCTGACTTATGGTATTCTCTAGATCAGTGGTCCCCAGTCTTGGGCTTCCAGATTTTCGTAGACTTCAACTCCCAGAAATCCTGGCCAGCAGAGATGATGGTGAAGGCTTCTGGGAGTTGTAGTCCAAGAACATCTGGAGACCCAAGGTTGGGGACAACTGCTCTAGATAGAAAATGGACAGGTTTACCATTCCCTGCTTCTGGGAGCATTCTGGGACTGTGCCGTTTGCCTATGGCTACACAAGCTGGCTATGTTAGGCACAGTGAGAAACTGAATTCCCAATCTCTGACTTTGCAGCCAGATACCAGTTTCCCTATGGCTACACAGGCTGGCTATGTTCACAAGGAGGCACAGTGAGAAATTGAATTTCCAATCTCTGACTTTGCAGCCAGATACCTAAACCACTGAACTATACAGCCAGTGAGGCTGTCTACTTGTAGGTGTTTCATACTAGAAGCCAGTGTCTTATGGTGGTCAGATGCATGCAAGTAACTAGTCACTTTTCAGAAATGGCAAAAGAAAGTTATTGTTTGAATATAGTATATTTCTTATGGTAGGGTTAGTAGTAAGAGATTTACCTGAAAGGACTGTAATCTGACTCTTTAGCAGAACTGAGTGGTAATGCTTTTCCCAGATCTTACGGATTGCAGGTCCATGCTTAGTATGCACAGAATTTAGAAAATAGTTTTAAAATACAGTACTAATTAGTTATAGCTACAACATCCCAAAAGTAGCTAGTTACTATTAGAGTTAAAATAACTTTAAACAGTAATTTTCATTTACCATTTCTGAAAAGTGACTAAATAGTTACTTCTATGCATCTGATTGCCACAAGCCACTGGATTGCAGCATGAAACACCTTCCCTTCCCTTTGACTTTGTTTCAATACTCACAACAGAGCAGTATGAGACATGACATGAGCCAGCACTTCAATTGTGTGGTATACTTCTGGCATAATTTCATTGCAACTGTAAAAGTAACTGCGGATCATACTTATACCACAGTAGCCATTATCTGATCCCTTGTGAAGTTACAGATAATAATGTAACGTAGTTATAATTTTGCTACTGTAAAAAGGAATGAATTCTATAATTAATTTTTTCCAAGCTATTCCTGTATGTGCACTTGCCAGTTTAAATATCTCCTCATGAAAGTAGAAATCCTCCATATAGAATAAGTACAAATCATAATTTATGTTTGTTTGAGGTGTCTAATAAGATTTTTAGAAAAAATATTCAAACAGATATTGTATTAGTTGTTTCTGAGATGAGAAGAAAGGAATGTTGATAGTTTCCCACACCACATCTTGGACTGTGTATATTTTTATTAGTCTCCATAGGCTAGAACACTTATGTCTGTGAGAACATCTGCTTATGGACAGTCACCTTAGCCTGTTTCAGATGGAGACTTCCCTGTTTCAGGTGGAGACTTCCACATCAGCAGATATGCTTCTTGACCCCCTGCAGACCATTTTATGGTGTTTATTGCACACTTTTTAACCCTGAGTCTAATGTGACATAATCAGAAACAGGGGTTATCTCCCTTTACTCTCCTTTCACCTACTCTGTAAGATGGGGTAAGCTGATAGTAGGATGAGTCCACTCTCCGAATTTTGTAAGTGAAAGTTCATACTCTGTCTTCTTTCCTCTAAGTCTCCTGCTTTGTGCTATTTGACATACTAGTCCTTTGTGTTTCACGACTGGATAGTTTCCTTACAAACCTCTTCTTGTTTGCCCTATTGTTCTCCAAAACACTAGTCCAAACTCTGTACTTCTGTGTTTATGCAATCAATTCCATCATGTAAACAAATCTTTAGCTTTAAAGGAGCCATGTGACTCTGTGTTATTTTCATTGGTGGTTGTTGCCTCTGGTGGTTGTTGGTGGTGTGGAAGGTAACGCAGCTAATCTTGGATGGAGCCAGAGGCCAGAGTGGGTATTCAAACACAGAGATGGGTATACTCCCATAAACACACAAGGAACATTAAAGCAGTCAAAACATGCACAGGCCTTTTGGAGGCAGGAAAGAAAGGAATGGCTCGGGATAGCCTGAGCCTAATGGACTAGTTGTTGCTGGTTAATTTCCCACTTACTTATATTTCTCTTTCTCTGCAGTTTACAGGACAGTGTACATGCAAAGAAGGCTATAGTGGCCTAACATGTTCTAATTTTGAAGTCCAGGTTTGTCCAGACCAGACGTATGGTGATATCAGGACAGGATGCAGAGGTATGGGATATAGTGTTGTTACATAACAGCACTGATGTTACCTGTCTGTCATGGGTTTGGAGGGAAAGTTCCATCCTATGGGGAGTGGAAGGCGGGACATCAGGAGGAGGGGCTGTACTGTATAAATATGTGATGCCTGTGTGGTGAAGAGGAGATGCTGAGACAGACTGTGAGACACTGGGTTGGGACGAAGCAGCAGCTGGGGAAGAAGAAGCTGTTGTGGGAGTCTGGGTGTCTGACAGGGTACTACTGTGTGGGATATAGTGTATTTCATGGATCATTGTCATTTTGCTGCTCCTCTGTTGAACTAGAGATCTTTCCATTTATATCTGTTTTAACAGTTTGCTTCTGACTGGATTTTCCCCAATGGATCTGCCTACTGCAAGTTTCACTTCTCTCACTCCCCTGATATTGGGTTGTCTGGGGATAACTTACTGGAGTTGTTGCATGTAAATGATTGAATGTTTTAAAATGAGACTCTTGCCCCTCTTTTATTCCTTCCTGCCTAAAATAGATCTTACTTTTCACTGAATTCGCTTCACCATCCCAACAGGCTTGGAAAATGGCACAGCTACTTGATGAAACTATATGAATAACCAGTTCGTCCTATTTATACTTAGTGCCCCCCCTTGTCCTTCAAAGAGAACACAGATAATTTTGACAGAAAGACATGGTTTCGTCACTGTACAATATAGTCAAAGTGGTTCGGCCCCATTTTTATGGGCTCCATTGCAATGTCTGCCATTGTGAAAGGCAGGAGGAAAAGGCAGGTTCTTGCTTTTAAAACAAAGCACCTAGACCTGGTTTCAACATGAACATTTGGCTCCCCCCCCCCAGCACCTAGTTCTTGCTAGTGGTGGTTTGCAGCTCCTGGTAGGTTCAAGGAAGGAGAGGCAGTGTGTCTTCCCACTTGCTGGACGTTATACCACATTATACTGCAGCAATTCAACAGTTCAGCAGGGTGCCATGCATTTGTGGGTAAAGTTGATGGAGATGGGGGCACTATCTTTATGGATTATTGCTTATCTTCCCCTCTAAACAGCTTGTGACTGCAATTTTCAAGGCACAGTGGAGATGGGGTGTGACAAGCAGACAGGAAGGTGCCTTTGCCATCCTGGCTTTACAGGATCCCGCTGTGACCAGTGCCAGCGGGGCTATTGTGACAAGCACCACCGCTGTGAGGCATGCCACCCCTGCTTCCAGGTTTATGATGAAGAGCTCCATAGGTTTGGCTTACGACAGGCCAGTTTGAAAAATTCTACCCAGCACCTCCACATGGGAACAGTGAATTCTGGCTTCAGCGCTCATCTCTTAGAAGCTGAAAACGAAGTTCAGCACATCCGAGAGATTCTGAAGAATCCCCTCATGAAGGAAGAGGGACTTGATCAAGTGAGGCATGCAATTGCTACAATCAGGTAAATCAGATTTTCTTTCTATTTGACTGCCACAAACAAGTGGGGTGGCAGCTCTAAAACAGTCAGAAACATATTGTTTGTGTTTTGCTGTTGAAAAGCAATCATTCCACCTAACTTGAAGGAAAGTAGTCTAGACCTTCCTGAGCCATAGATTCATGAGCTGTGAAAGAAAAAGCTCTATTCTCTATTTTCTCATTTGGAAAATGGGAATGTTAATAATATGCTTTAATGTATTCTTGAAGGCTTTCACGGCCAGGATCTGATGGTTGTTGAGGGTTTTTCGGGCTCTTTGGCTGTGTTCTGAAGGTTGTTCTTCCTGACGTTTCAACTGAACTACTGGACAACACCAGCAAGCATTATGTTAGATTGCACAGAGAAGCCATTGAAATCCATAAACACCAACAGAGCTTCAACAAAGAAGAGGAAAGTCTAAAACTTAACAAGGCCTGGCTTCCAGGCACTAAAAAATACAGCCTACAAAAGGTCAACAAACTCTACCCAGCCACAAGGACCAGGGATCATTGCACAAAAAAAGACCAGCTAAACACACCCATCTATCACCGTGACAGATAATCTCTCCCCCTTATCACAACAATACACCCACAACAAAAACACGCTGATCACCATCATCACCCTATCTCTGAAAAGGACAATAGCTGTTCCCAAAGCTATAAATACTCAACTATCCAACAAACAGCATGGACAGATTCCTAATCCAGTCTTCTGAAGATGCTGGCCACAGAGACTGGCGAAACGTCAGGAAGAACAACCTTCAGAACATGTCCAAAGAGCCCAAAAAACCCACAACAACCAACATGCTTTAATCTTTTTCAAAGAGATAACAAGGTAAAGACTCTACAACAGTTTGTGTGTTAAAGGTACTACACAATTAATCTTTGGGTAACAAAAGGTTCAAACCAGTTTTAAGAAATTCTTATGCTCTTGTCTATTTGAATGTTTTTTAAAAGCCCTCTGAGGCCTTGAGCTGTCACCAACTGACTGAAAAATGATCCACCATTTTCAGACATCAGAGCTGATATAAAAAGTTCAGGTTATAAAAATAATTATGAATTTAGGAAGCCTGGCCTGAAAGTGAGGCCAGAAACTGTGGTGTGCCTGGATTTAAGCTGGAGTGTGTGTGTGTGTGTGTGTGGATTGCAGAGGGACCTACCCCTCTCAGGTTCATTCACTGCATGATAAATTCTGGAGCGCCAGCTGGTACCACTCAGCAAGGGGACAGAGCTCCTGGCAGACACAACCTTGTGAACCACTAAGCTATCCCACTGTGGTATCACATGGAACTGAACACTTCCTCTTCTTTTCATGCCCAGCAGAGGTATAAGATGAGCTCCTTGTTAAATGGTGACTCAGGCATCTCAAGGCATGATATAGGAAGAGGCATATTAGATCAGAGCAAAAACCTATCTAGCCCAACATCCTGTTCTGTCAAATGCTATGGGAAGCACCTAACAGAAAGTCAATGCTGTAGCATTCTCCTAAGTATTTTGTTCACTGTTTTCTTCTCTCTGGTTCTTGTGGTTATTTATAGCTATCATGATGAGTTCCTTTTGGTAGCCAGTTCCTCTATGAATTAGTTTAATCCTGTGAGGTGGTTTCCACTGGCAGCCTGGGCAAATTGTCAATCTTTACCCTGGTGCACCATGAGAGCCCAGGAGAAACCTCTGCTCTCAGGCTCCTGGCAGGCAGTGGAGAGGGATGATAGCTGTCTGTGGAGAAGCCAAATGGTGAGGGACACTTGCAGAAGGAGTGGGAGGAGGCAGCTGGAATAAAGGGGGACTTGAGTGAATTAGAGGAAAATGTGGTAACTTGAAAGAAGAGGCATAGAGGGAGGTACTCCCTGTTCTGATCCTTGAGAGAGGTGGAAAGCAAGTGGGAGGAAGAACTCTGAGCAGAAATTCCTGAACACCTCCCGTTGGGCAGAGGAAGGGCTAGAACTGCTGCAGTCCTCAGCACTGTCTTCATAACCGTGGTGCCCATGCCGTCCAAGTTGAACTTGTGGCAATGCTCACAAATCCCTGATTAAAGCAAGCCAAGTTGGTGGCCATCACCACATCATGTGATACCACATACCACAGTAACAATGTGCCTTGTGTGAAGAAAAAATTATTCTTATCTGTCCAGAGAAGTAATGTTTTATGTACTGAAAATATGTTGCATGTGGGTTTAAGGGCAATATTCCCTGGAGAATGAAGGAGAAAAGAATTTTAGAACTACATTTTGTTGTATTGATTTCAGGCGGACCATTGAAGGTTTAAGCTCTGAACTGCCCCTTGTGGATGAAGTGTCCTCTCTGTCTGTAGATGTGGAAACTCTGGAGAAAAGCTTACTTCTGATAAATGTGGAGTATGAAAAGAAGAAGGCTCAGTTTGAAGCCAACCGCAGCACAGACCTCTCAAGTATAACAGTTGTTTTTTACCTTCCACATAATTTAATATATAAGTGTTTGAATCTTCCACTGCAGGCATGGGAAAGATGTGGCCCTTAATAAAGTATTGGGACTGCAGCTCTGGTCAGCAGCATAGCAAACAGTAAGGAATGAAAAGTCCCATAACACCTGGAGGTCCACATTGTCTCCATTCGTTTTATTGTTGTATAAAAGGACATATGTCTTAAGAATAGTTTCCCTACCCCCCAATTAATTATTTCAAGTCCCTCTAAAAGACAATGAAAATTAAGATCAGGGCATCAATGAGCAAACAGTGTTCACTGCTTATTTTGAGCTTTGAGGATTTTTGATGCCACAATGATACAAAACACCATGTTATCCTTTGTCACACACCTTTAATACGAAAGCGGACATTGTGCTGGCAACTCTACATTTTGTTTTTAAAATGGTTGTCTTCTCTTTTCTGACCTACATTAACAGTGTTCAGTAAAATAGCCTGACAGAGGATCAGAAATTCTTTTATTATCATATATGAAAGCAAAGCAGAATAAAAATATAATAATACATCCATCTTTCATATGGAAAGAGCCAAATCCCATGAGTTACTCTGTCCCTCAGAGTCCTTTGCTTTCTTTTCACTTTCACCATGTCTTCTCTTTTAGCTCTTAAAGCTTGGATTTTCTTCAAGACACTAAAAGCTTTTTCATTTTGATTTAGTAGAGCTTAATTAAAATGAATAGTTTATTTGGTCACAGGAACTGAAACAATGAAGCCTTTGTATCAACTGAAAATAGGAACCCTAATTCAAGTAGATGTCAAATAACAAGCATGTTCACACATGATGTTTGAAATGTTTTTTTTACATTGCCTAGGCCTACAATTGTTTTCTCCTCCAGTTAGTCTTTCTCTTGTAAATCATACATTAACAGCAAACAGACACCACATAATACAAGTTAAAATTCAAAGCAATTTAAGTCTTTTGTGTGAAAATGCTGTGTGTCAAAGAAAGCAATTTAAATGTGATAGTAGGAATTCGTATTAGACCTCAAGCTCAAACAAACATCCTAGGGATTTCTAGTTATTTCTTTTTCTCACTGACCTGGTACACCCTGCTCTGAGACTTTCTTATGTAGCTATTAGTATTTAGTCACCCACAGAGGGAAATCTTGTTTTTAATCTTCTCTCTTCACCTTCTAATTAGATATGATGCAGAACATCACCAGGAAAATTCCACTAATCTAATTTTGTTTCCCTCAGAAGTCACTGGCTGTTCCACATTTGCCTCAAAGTATTTATGCAGGTGACATGCAGTGGTGGCCCTAGATCTAATTTAGGACTCTTTCAGATGGAGCATTTATCCACCTTTGTGCCAGTCAGTGCTGAATGAGTACAGATTTTACTGGGGATTCCTTAAACCCCATTTTTCTTCTCTTTAAAAAATTAGCATCTTTTAAAGAAACTGCTTACTTTTGCAAAGCTTTCTTTTGAAATTCTAAAGCAAAGTGTGTCGTTTATATACCACCTGGTAGTGCTTGAAGCACATGCTAAGTGGTTTACAATTTCTTAATTATACAGGCTGTACATTGCCCCCTCTCCCCTAAGCAAGCTAGGTACTCATTTTACCTCAGAAAGAAGAAAGACTGAGTCAGCCTTGAGCTGGCTGTCAGATCTGTTTGTATCGAACACTGGCCGTGAGCAGAATTTCAGCTGCAATATTACAATTTAACCACTGTGCCACAAGGCTCACTAACCTTCCATGGGGAAGTGACCATGTTCCTGTACAATATATTCTCAATTCCCTTGCTTTTCAGTTTAAAAAGGAAGTGCAGGTTTTTAATATTAGAAGTATTTACTCCCAATAAAACTCATATTTTTGTTCATCATACCTGCCTGGCTGCTGTTAGATGTTGTAGATGAGTGCTCTTGGTTACAAGCAGAAAACTGATAGAAGTCTGTGTAGCTCTGTTTGCAAAGCTTTCTTCTTAGTCCAGGTTCCTTTTACTTTGGTGTGACCTTCAGGTAATAATACCAACTTTTTTTGGCTCTGGCATGAAAACAGAAAAATGGGAAAGGTTTTTCCACTTGGATTTCTGTCTGTTCAGCAGTTGTTAAACCCCTGCCAAAAGAAGACGAGACCATCCTCATTTCAAATTTGTTGTTGAACAGCAAGATATAGGAGGTGTAAGAGAACTCTGCTAGATGGCAGACTTGAGCAATGAGTTGGCTTTGATTTTTGTAGCTCTTTTGTTTTTGTTTATTATTTGATATGACTTGATGATGCAACATTTCATCTAGATTGGACTGCAGGCGATATTTCTGCTGCGTTGTTTCCTTTTTGAAACCCAGTGGAAGGAGGCATGGTAGCTCACGTACCTCAGCTTGCAGAAGTTCTATAAGACACATTTAGTAGATCCTTGAAATACTACATGCAGCTTAGAATACCTCAGCTTGCAGAAGTTCTATAAGATCCTTGAAATACTACATGCAGCTTAGAGAAATAGTCCATAGTTTGATAGCTATATCTCCTTTCTCCATCATTTGTTGCATTGAAAAGAGTGAGAGGCCTGACCTGAAAAGTAGGACTGGAGAAGAATTACATTTCAGTTTCTTTTCATTAGAATTTATTCAGAATTTGCAACTGCCTTTATATTACGGATGGAAAGAATTTTTTTAAAAAAAAACACGAATGTGGAAATAGCTCCTCCCTCCCCTGAGAGTCTTCATCTGTATGACAGGTGGCTACAACATGGTCCTCTCCATGCTAGGAATATTTGCACTTGCTCATGTTGTCCAACGTGAATGTGGAAGAATATCTACTTAGTGTCTTTTTGAAGAATTTAAAGGTTAAAAAGCTCAAAAATGAAAGCAAGTCTGACAAATTTCCTCTATTGAAAAGTGGTGTGTGTTTTGATAGGTGGCCCTGTGATTCATTCCTCTAGCATGTCCTTCTTTCTTTTCCAGAGTAAAAATCAGCACCAGAAGTTTGGTAAGAAATGCTGCATTATGAGTCACTAAGCCATTCATACAGTATTTGCCTCTGTTCCCGTAGGAGCATTCAAGACTGTCAGCAATGCGTATCAGACATCTTCCAATGCCAGCTTGCGCATAGCTGGATCTTCTAGACTGCTGGCTCAGTCAATGGAAAAAAGGAGACTTGCTGAAGAGCTTGAAAGTGATCTTACAGGACAGGGGTCAGGACTAGAGGCTCTGCTGGGTGAAATGGCTCACTCGCCAGACTTGACATCAGTCATTAATAAGGTGAAGCCTAGCACTTGTTTTCTGCTAAAGGAGATGCTGCATAGTCTGACAGTTCAGTTTGAAAATGCTAAATAATTTGTTATCCACTGAATTTTATGTTCTTAGTTATGGCTGCAACCCGAATCGCTGTGGCTTAATGAGAGATATGTTTTGGCCAAAGTCTCTGACTTGCTTTTAATCTTCATTTCTCCTGTTCTATTATTGCCATGGAGACTTATGCCAGACTCTTCTGTTGCTGTGAAAATCACTCATTTTGTTGTCATTCACAGCAGTGTTCTCAAAGACATTAAGGTAAATGGATGTGGAAGAATTCAGGCAATATCTCATCCCTTCAGACAGCCACTCAAACTCATTTGGACACCTCCTATGAATCTTAACATTGATCACATTCCTGTGAGGGCTCAGAAGTGATCCACAACTTCCCTGTGACACTAACTTTCTTCTGGTCAATGCTGTTTACTTCTCAGGGCATTCATGTCCAGGGCATTATTGTTTGCAGGCCCAAATATAGATGGGGGGAAGATTCACCTCAGCCAGTACTATGTTATGTTGAAGGATATTTATGGAGATGTGTTTCTCTATATAACAAAATTATATATGGTTGAAGGAACAAAGCACCAAAATATTTAGAGACATTGATCCCAGGAGCAGTGGAATCCAGTTCTGTCTGCTTTTCTTTTTCTTTTACTGTTACTGACATAATTCAGCTGATCGTGTGACTTCTCTGTTTAGATTTGTAGTGGTATCCGTTCAGAGATTTGCACCCCCAGGGAATGTCTGGGAGAGCTGTGTCTCCAGCAAAACATTACAGAATGTGGCCCTGGCCTGAGTTGCAGAGGAATCATTTCACTTTCTGGCAGCTCCATCCAAATGGCCAGGAAAACCACCCAAGAAATACGCAACTTGAATATGAGACTTCTGGAAACTGCACAGAAGGTATGTGTGTAGAATGGAAAGAGGGAGCTCCTAGCTTGTTTCCAAGACAGGAGGAGAATGAGAGCACTTTTACAAGTGTGAAAGAACTCTGAACTTATCATGACTTTTAAGATGCAAACACCTATTTTGAATGGAAGTCGCCCCGAGTAGACATTGTCTAGAGGGGCGGAGTAAAAATCAAATCAAATCAAATCAAATCAAATCAAATCAAATCAAATCAAATCAAATCAATCAATCAATCAATCAATCAATCAATCAATCAATCAATCAATCAATCAATCAAGTAAGTCTCTCCACATGTAATTTTTTTAATCTGAAAGATCTGCCTGGTAAATATTTGTATGTCTGTACTTGGGAAAGTCAGAAGTTTATGAGACCTCTGGTACATGACCTCTCATAAATCACGGAATATGGAGCAAAGGAGAGCATGTCTGTGCAGGTGCATAATGCAAGCAGTTGTTATGATGCTAAAATGGAATAATGCGAAACTCTACAGGTAGTATTAATTTTCTCAGTGCCCCTGGCTTGATGCACAGAAGGTAACTGTGTAATTTTTGATTACTGCTCTTTTCACTGATTATTTGTCTCTGAAATACAAGGAAAATATGAATTAATTAAGAAACAGAGAGAGTGACAATATTGCTAGAAGATGCAAGTGTAATTGGTTTAAGAGTGTGATACTCACAGTATGTACCATACAGAAACTGAGTCTGTTTGCACATTAATAGATCAAAGCTGCAGAAATAGCTGCCAACAAGATTCAAACAAATACCCGGAGCTTGAGTGGCCAAATGAGCACAACTAGGACCCAGATAGAGGGAGACATCCGACGGACTCAACAGTTCATCCGTCAAGTTCGCAACTTTCTATCAGGTAAGGTTTGAAGCTTATATCTGGAACACCTCTCCTGATTTCTTCATATTAAGTTGGCCTTCCCTAGGCCAGCTCCTTCAAGAGATATTTGAATATAACTGCCCTCTGGCTTGTAATAAGGGCATCTGTAGTTTAGGTTATTAGAAGGGCATCTGGCTGGGGAAGGTACATAAGATCCCCCCCCCCAATAAATGTTGCTTTCCATTGGAGAAACACAAAACCAAAATAATATTTTTTACAGGATGAGTTGATGGATTAAAGTATTTCACATCTTTTATTAATCATATTTAAATATTTTAAAATATCTTGCTGTGTGCCTTGACGAATGGGTACCAGGCTTCTTCTATTGATCTCAGAAAACAAAATGGTGCAATAAATTAAACCACTGTCTAGTCCATAGAAGTGATTCAGTTTTTAGTGCTTCTGAGACAAGATAGTACAGTGGTGCCTCGCATTACGATGTTAATTCATTCCAGTGAAATAGCTGTAGAATGAAAACATCGTAAAGCAATTTTAAAAAGCCCATAGAAATGCATTAAAACCTGATTAATGCGTTCCTATGGGCTTGAAACTCACCGTCCAGCGAAGATCCTCCATAGCATGGCCATTTTTGCTGCCCGTGCAGCGAGGAATCCATCCCAGAAAACAGCGGGCAGCCATTTTTTTACCCGGTGGCCATTTTGAAACCGCCGATCAGCTGTGAGAAAATCTTCATTTTGCGATAATCGGTTAGTGAAGCAGGTAACTGATCATCACAAAGAGGAAAAACCCCATAGGAAACATCATTTTGCGGTCACTTTTGCAATCGCAAAATCCTCGTCGTGATGCGATTTCTTCGTTAAACGAAGCACTCATCTTGCGAGGCACCACTGTAAATGAAAATCATGCAGCAAGTTTGTGCCTATTGAAGTGTATGTGTTACTGTCTGATTCCTTCTGCTCCAACAAAGAGCAGTAAGTCAACGCTCTGTCCCTCCCTCCCTAATTTTCTGGGCATGAAAATTTCTTACACAGTGTTCTGCCAATTGTCTCTTTATTTTGAGCATTGGTACTGAAATGCATAATAGCTGTGAACTTCATCCCCAAAATTATAGGCTGGGCTACTTCCTCTGTTCTGCTTAAAAACCATGGGGTTTCTCCTTTACAGGCCACACACATCTTATTGTAGTGAAAAGATTGAATAGTCCTGCATGTGTCGGTTTCAGAGGAACAATGAATCAACCTTGTCTCCTAAGCAGGTGGATGTAGTTGTAGCAGTATTCTGAAATTACAGCTTCACACACTTTCAAGCAGGGAGCTAAATGCTGACAATAGTTTAGTTAGCTAATTTAATTTGGTGAACTCTTAACAGGGGCCTCCTTAGGGAAGGCAACAGGTTTTATTTCACTTACTTCACATAGTAGACATCTCTCCTATCTTCCACCCTACCACGCTTTAAAGCTGTTATAATTCTATATGGAATATGGGGGAAAGACATGGTAAACATGATAAATTAAAAAAAAAAAGAATTTGAACATGTGCAGATCATCACATTTTAAGCTCGCTGTTATTATCATGTAATAAAATGGGGATTGCCTCTTCTACCTTGATGCAGAATACATTTTCTTGGGGGATTCTGGCCAGGCTCGTGGCTTTATCCTGTGGTATTCTTGATGGCTGGGTACTCAACCAACTTCCTCATTTGGCTCAGACACTTCTCTGCCTTCTTCTAGGGGTCTAGGTTCTGGAGGATTAAGCAGTTTCACCCACATCAGGTTCAGGGGGAATCGGGCTCATCCTCAGCAGAGGAGTCATCCATTAAGACCATGACACCCACCCCAGCACCCTTGCCCACCTCAATGAAAAAAGAAATTCCTGGGAAACTCATGGGATTTCTTTGAAGTCTTGTGATTAATATTTCTGAAAGAAATGCCAAGGTGGGCAGGATTGTTATCATTCCTGCATAAGCAGCATTATTTCCTAATCAAGATTAATCAGTGAGGGCATTCAGCTGAAGAGATTTGAGCAGTTTCCTGTGGAGGTACAAAAAGAAAAGAAAAGAAAATTAGACTTTTTCCTCCCCCCCCCCAAAAAAAAATCTTTAAAAAAACCCAGTGTCTCATTTTTGCATAAAGCTGGGAAGTGTCTGTGCAGGTGGGAGTCCTGACCAGCTCTGCAACAAGGTATACTGACAAGCAGGCACGCTGTGAAATGACACGTTGCTAGGAGAAAATAAGGTGGTAGTAGTGGTGGTGGTGAAGACATGAGGAAAATGTAAAAAGCTCAGAGGATGAGAAAAGATTGTGAGTACTTGGCATAGCCTTACTTGTACCACATTCTGTGAACGTTGTGATGGCTGAGGTGACACATGCCATGGTGATAACAGAGCTCTGTGGCACAGTTTTTTCCCTTACTTGTTCCATAAGGCGACACAGGATTTTGAATAGCCAAACCACATCTGCGAACTTCTCATCCTCCTACACTAATCATCTGATAATTTTGTCATTTAATGGTCCAGACATCTTCCTGATTGGTTTTCTGTTTCTGGTGAACTGAAACTTTATTTTTTAAAATACTAAGCTTGTTCTTGATGTCTCACAGCATGGAAATATGCTCCAGAAATTTATTATTTTCCTATTTCATTATCATCATCTTACTTTTGTTTTGTCAGAGTTGTTTGTCTTTTGGGTGAAGCCTATATTTAATAGCTTCCCTGTTTAAAAAACTTTTTTTAAAAAAAATTATTTCTGCTTCCTTGAGTGTTCTGCCTGAGGTAAAGAATATGTCCTGTCATACCTAGCAAGGTGTACTGACAAGCAGGCATGGTGTGAAATGACAGGTTTCTAGGGGAAAATATCAAAAATGTTTGGATGTCTTAGATGGGAAGATGTATTCTGAAAGGTTCAGAACTATAGGAGATGTCAGGTGCAAAAAGTAATGGATAAGTGACCTCCTGCTGTCTGCAAGTAGAATGAAGATCAGAAGCACTGCTGACAGCACATATTTCCAGCCTGACTCTGTGTATATGCCTCAAGATTTATTGTGCTTTTTTTAATACTATAGACCTGGGTGAGCCATCTCATTTGTTTGCCTTAATCTGCTAAGCTTTAAAGTACACTTCTGAATAATTTGAAAGACTGTGTATAACATTTTAAAACATAATTGTCTGAATGAAAGGTAAAGGTCTAAATCCAGTTGCTGTTTCCAAGTGGAATAGATCCAGCAAAGCAATGATATTTATGTGTAGACTTACTGTTCAACAGATAATATGATGAGCTTAGTCTAGTTGAACCTCCAAGTTGTATTTAGGTCACAATTTCACTTGATCTGGATTCTCCTTTCCTTTATAATTTTTCCAGATCCAGATACCGATGCTGCTACCATCCAGCAGGTCAGCGATTACGTCCTCTCCCTTAATCTCCCTACGGACTCTGCTGTGATCCTCAGAAAGATGGCTGAGATTCAGAAACTAGCTGCCAAGCTGCAGTGCCCTGAGAACATCATTGCCCAAACTGCTGAGGACATTGCTAGGGCCAAACAGCTTCAGCAAGAAGCCGAAGAAGCCAGGTAAAACAGTGATTTGTGTAGCTTTCGATCATGAAAGGAGAGTCAAGGGAATGATCCATAGCTCCAGTGATATTTGGCTAGGGCTTATCTATGGTATTCAGAAACTCTCCCTCTTTCCTACTGGCTTGGCTTTCCACTAGAATAAGGCTGTCTTCTTTGATTTTCTATGCACTTGACATTCAAAAATCTGGTACATTAATACTTTTAAAAGCCATAATGCATTCTACCCAGTGGTGCAATGTTTTCATGTGCTCTATTCAAATTTATTGTAGTAGGATGCAAGCCTATCTTCCTATCCTATGTCAATAAATAGTTGCATACAAGAACTAAACAGATTCCTTCCACTGGGTCCTTCTCCCTCCTTTCTGGCTATGCAATAACCAGATAAGAAGAACCATGAAGTTGACCCCCCCAACCCCCACCTCTTATAACAAAACTATAGCAGCTTGGGGGAATTTCCACAGGGATACAGCTCCATTGTTGCTAGTGCCAGGTATGGATAGTTCTTCAGACTGTACTCCTCTCATCAGTGGTGGTGGTGGTGGTGGTAGTGACAGCATCAGCAGCAGCATCAACAACAGAAAATGTTTTAGTAATATTCTAGTAAGTGTCTGAAACACTTTGCATACTTTAGTTTTTAAGTAATATCTATATACAGTAGGACAGTATTACTGTCACCATTTTATTTATTTGATTTATTTTACACCTTTGTCCACAGAAGTGGGTGGGTTCATAAAAACTGAGTAAGGAATAGTAGCTTGTGATTCTTGTGGATTTTTAGGGCTCTTGGCCATGTTCTGAGGGTTGTTCTTCCTAACATTTTGCCAGTCTTTGTGGTGGGCATCTTCAGAGGACAGCACTCTCTGCTCTGGTGTAGTTTGCTTGGGAGTGGAGTATTTATGGCTGTGAGATAGGCTTTTATCCTATTCAGGAGATGGGTGATTAGTGTGTCTTGTTGTGGGTATTGTGCTAAAGAGAAGAGATTATTTGTCACTGTGATTGATGGTTGTCATTAGCTGATCTTTTGTGTGTAGTGATCCCTGGTCCTTGTGGCTGGGTAGAGTTCATTGACCTTTCGCACACTGTATTTTTCAGAGCTGGGAGCCAAGTTTTGTTGAGTTTCAAACTTTCCTCTTTTTTGTTGAAGTTATTTTGGTGCTTCTTGATTTCAATGGCTTCCCTGTGCAGTCTGACATAATGATTGCTGGTGTTGTCCAGTATTTCAGTATTTTGAAATAGAATTTCATGTTCCACTTGTTTTAGGGCATGTTCGGCTACTGCAGATTTTTCTGGTTGTTTTAGTCTGCAGTGTCTCTCATGTTCTTTGATTCTGGTGTGGATGCTTCGTTTTGTGGTTCCAATATATACCTGTCCACAACTGCAGTGGTGAGGGGGTCCCTTCTGTTCTTTGCTGACCCTAACATTTGTTGTATTTTTGTGGTGGGCTTGAATAGTGTTTGTAGATTGTGGTTTTTTCAAAAGTTTCCCCATGCGGTCCGTGACCTCTTTGATGTATGGCAGAAATACTTTATTTGTGGGTGACTGTTTTTCTTCTTCAATTTGGTGTTGTTTTCTTGGTTTGATGGCTCTTGTGATTTCATTTTTGGAGTAGCCATTTGCCCGTAGGGCCCAATTCAGATGGTTGAGTTCAGTGCTGAGAAACTGAGCTTCACTGTTCCGATTTGCGCAGTCTACCAGTGTTTTGATTATGCCTCTTTTTTGCTGTGGGTGATGGTTGGAGTTTTTGTGTAGGTACCGATCTGTGTGGGTGGGTTTTCCGGAGATCTTGTATCCCAGTCAGAGATCAGTTTTGCGTAGTTTGCTTAAGTGTACCCAGAGAAACTTTATAGCTGAACTGAGATGTAACTTAAAGACTTCCTATTTCACAAATGTAATATTGTAACCTCTATCTTGCATTGCTATCTATCTCCTGGGGTTGAACAAATTAGATTATATCCAGCTCTGCATATATTTAACCAATACCCTGCATGATTTCTGCACATTTTAATTTACAAAAAATGTATATCCCTTTTTTTCATTTTTTCCTAAATATTCATGTTCTACTCATTTTTCCAGGATGTCTGCATTTCTGCACACAACTTTCCCTAATATACACATTTTTAAAAAGAAAATTGCAGCACAACATTTGAAGGAACATAGAATTTGAAAGATGCCTGTGTTCCTATGAGCATCTTAGCATGGAAGTGTGGATTAAATTGGTTTGCTTCAAAAAGGGAGACCGAACAAAATTGTCTAATATCCCTGCTCTCATCCCAGTAGCACAAAGAGATGAGATCTCTTTGAACTTTGCTGTGAACACCCATTAGCTACTGAAGAGGTGAAATTAAAAACTTTTCTGCTTATGGTGCTTTGAGGCCATTCAACACGTTATCCTTGCTTTATTAATTTTAAAAAAGTTTTTCAAAGAGTACTATATACTTTTGTTGGCACTTTCCCACTTTTTAGAAAGTTCAGACTATTTGCCTTTCCTCTTCGTTTATGCAGTATGGATAGGAGGATGCTTTTCACTTGCATAATACCTGTTCTTTTGTATAATGGTTTCCCAGGAACCGAGCCAATGCTATTGAGAGTAATGTAGAAGATGTGGTGGACAATTTGAGACAAGCAAACACAGCACTGCAAGAGGCTGAAGACACTATCCGTGGCTCTGGTTATTCTCTCCAATTTGTTCAAAGCCGCCTTGATGAGGTAAAGTAAATTTTTGGCATTGAACCCCTTATATGAGCTCCTACTTAAAAGCAGACCTGCAAAACATCCAATCCTCCAGGTAAACTGCTGTCCACAATCATGTGTTGTGATTGTTCTGCTGTATGCTCGACACTGCCATTTCAAAGTAGGCAATCATAAGTGAGAAGTTTAGCAAGCTCTTTGTGGGCTTAATGCATGATTATTTGATTTGTCAGTATGATTAGTCAGTGGGTACAAGATGGACAAGACAATTTTGTGAAGACTTGCAGACTTCAAGATGTTTCCAGAGGAGTAGTTGTGCTATGTTGTGGTATTCTGCAGCAAAAAACAAAAAAAATCTGGTAGTACCTTAAAATGAACAAGTCTGGTTTGGCCTAAGCATTTGTAGACTGCCATCTGAGGAAGTGAACTGCAGTCCACAAAAGGTTGTGCCAAACACAGCTTTCTCCTTACAGACTAAGGTGCATGATGATTCTTTCAAGTTTTTACTCAAGGTGTATAAAAAAGTTTAGAGAGAAGGGCTTCTATTTCTTAACTTGTATTCTAAGATGGTTTGCTAAGCTATATCTCCATTGTTACAAAAGTTGAAACTTGTTAAGGAAAAACTGATGCAAAGATGTTTTGTTTTTGTTTTTTCTGTTTGTACTTTCACTGATGTCCTTGCATTCTCTTTGAATCTATGCCACATAATTTTATCATGATAGTATTAATTCATTACAATAAAGGGTGAGGCTTAGTTCTTTTCATGATCTGTACACTTTCTGCTACAGTGTAGATGCCTTATGAGCCTGCCTTCTTGGGTTGTATTTCTTCCAGGACAACCTTTTGTTCCTATTGTTATTCTGAAGGCAACTAAGTGCTATTCCAGATAAGGCAAAAGTTCCAGTTCATTTGACTATGACTGGTTGACGTTCATCTCAGTGGAAAGCAGAATTCATGTCCACAATGAAATTTGAAAAGGTGCATTTCCAAAATTCTGTTTCTTTTGAGTGATCATTGAAATCACTTACACAATCTCCCTTCCACTAACTGCCTTCTGTTGTTTTATAACACATAATACAGCCATATTGTGGAATTTTGTCAGAGTACATCTGCACATAATCACCACACTTATCCAGGCAAACTGATTTGGTCATTATTTTGGAGAATCCAAATTTTATGCACTCATCATCAAACTGCAGATTGGGTTCCTTGTAATATTTTTGAATATGATTTTCTTTTATTAAATTGCCAAATTATTTATCCTTTGGGACATTCAGATTCAAACTGTCCTTGGTCCAGCTAAGAAGAGTGTGAGGGAGATCACTGATCATCTGGATGGTTTCTCTGAGAGACTTCGCCTGTTGCAGAACAAAGCCAACCAGAACCGGCTGATGGCTGTTGATGCTGAGCAGAGAGCATCAGAAGCTAGTAATCAAGCTATGAATACTCAACAGGTATGAAAATCAGTGCTTTGAGAAACAAACAAAACCAGCAAAGCCCACAATAGCTTTGTAAACACAATATTTAGCTAGATAGACTTCTGCTCTCATCTAACATGGCTGCGCTTGTGCCCTTGAATGACAACAGGCCTGGTCAATACTTCTTGGCAGATGTTCCTGTCTCAGCCATTACTCTTGACAGTGACCTGGGTCTGTACAGGCTGCATAGACCATCTTTATACTGCTTGTCTGGCTTGTCAAGCTCCATTTAGTTGCATCCTTAAACTGCATGGGAGAAGAAAAGCAGAGTGTGACACAAAGGCTGGTTTCCTGAGAATAAACTGTGATGAATAACAATGAGAAGGAATATGCAGAAAAAGGACTGAGGTGATCTGACACTGATAGTTTTATGTTCAGGGTGGAAAACCAGTTTTATAGGTAATCTTAAATGGGTATACATGGTACCTCCATTAATGCAAGATAACATCTGACACAAGGAACTATATAATCTCTGTTCCATGTAGATGGCAGAAAATCTGAACGCTTGAGATTTTGGTAATATGAGTTCTATGTTATGAGTGTGATGGGTAGATTATTAACCACCCACTTCATCATTCCCCACCACCCATCCAGGGATTTGAACAGGTGAAACAAAAATATGCAGAACTGAAGAAGCGGATGAAGCAACAGCCATTTCTGGGAGAGCAAAGGGCTCGGATCCAAAATGCCCAAGAGGAAGCCAACACATTGTTTAAAGAAGCCTTGAGTACAGCATCCAAAATGGGAGGTAAAGAGAACATGGACATGAGTTCCCATATTTACAGCTGATCTCAAAACCTTTATCCTCCCTGTACTGCCATGCCAAACAGGATTGTGGATTTGTAAAGTCTATTAAAAAGGCTCCTTCCAAATAAAAATCAAGATTCTAGAAATGAAATCTTGATTGGTTCAGGGGCAATGTTCTTGGTGCTTAGTGTAAAGGGAGAATGTTCCTGGTTATGTTCCCTGCATTGGTGCCAGATATGGAAAGCATTCTTGGGGCTGTAAGAAGTGTGGTCTGAAATGCAAAAGAGTTTACGTTACCAAGTGGAGCCTATGCACATCTGTACAGCAGAGATATAACCCCTGCTGATTCCTTTCCAAGGTTTGACTGAGAAGTTGAAGGATTCATAGAGCCTCTGCATCTTAGTTTGTTCTTTTAATGGTGCATCCATGCTGAGGGAGTATAAACACTGTGTGCTATCCAGCCACTCAAGGGCTCCCTTCCTAACGACCAGTTGCTAAGCTAAGTGCCAAGTTTTTTTTCTGCTTCATTTGGATACTTCAGTGTGAAGCTTTCAAACCTAATGCCTTTGCACAATATGTCTTGGGAAGCAGCCAGCATGTAAACTAAGTGGCTTGGCCCCTGTGGCAGGTGCAGTGTGAATAACTGACTGGCCCAAAGCCAGAGATTTTTTTTTTTATTGTCAAGGGGAGTTGGTGCTGCTTCCATTGATAAAGCTGCACTTCTAATGAATGCCTTTCATTGAAGGTGCCTCTCTCTGTGCCAGAGAGTTGGCAGTGGGCCGCCCCCGGGTGGGTACTCCTGCTCACAGTTTGCTGAAAGCTGTAAGGAATGTTGATATTATTAAACGAGCCAGGAGGCAATTTCTCATGCAAAGCACGAGGGGCATCTATTGCCAGTCTCGGCTGACGTCAATGTCAAAACTCATTTGGCCCCATCAGAAGGACCGGACGCTTTATCGGACAGAAACGCTAGATTGATTAAGGATGCTGCATAAAGGAGCAGCAATTGAGTTCAGACCCTGCCAGGGATTTAGGGAAGCTGAACAAGGCTGCTTCTAGCTGGTATAGTGGACAGGCAGAAAATACTTCCTGTAGGGTATGTGGTGTAGTAGACCCATGCAGACATCCATCACTAAATTAGCTTCAGCAAACAGGGACTAATTATTGTTCTGCACCAGGAATTTTCATTAGCTTGTTTTGCTCCTGCTTTTTGCATGAATATTCATTTTCTTCTTCAGGGATCACAGGGTATTCTTGGGTTTTAAAATATGCTGAGTATGTGCACAAACATCTGTGCACAATAGCTAACCAGTGGTCTCCAGATGTTAAACACATCCATGATTGACTAAGTTGACAGACACACTCCATAACAGAATACACATTATAAAATTAACAGGGAATTAAATAATCTCTTGCCCTCTGGACAAACAGGAATGAGAAAGGCAAGACAGAGGGACTGGTTGATAGCCTGTGTAATGCTGGAGGGTTTCATTTTTAGCATATGTGCTTCTAAAGTGAGCAGAAAAGCTAGAGAAACAAAGATTTTCTTGCATCTAACCCATTACTCTGTCATTTTTCAGCTATAGAAACAGAGCTCCAAACAAGTAATGATGCACTCATCCTGGAATCAGCCAAGCTGGCAGGCCTAGAGAAGAAAGTGGAAACAATTCGTGATTATATTACCCGCCGAGTTTCATATTATGCCACCTGTACAGATTAGAATGATTTATTCTTGTCATCTGGTTGATGCTTTCCCCCTAATGTGCAGAATTGCCTCTTTCTAAATAAAACAATTTTATCAGCCATTTGTGTGTTAACCTTCCACAATCCTTAAAGTACCTAGAATCTTCTTATGGTAGTAAACGGTTCTTGCAGCTGCTTTTTAAAGAGTATGTGTTTATTTTGCAAGGTTCTGTCCAATGAGGAACAAGATTAAAGCTGGGTTTAAAGAGAGCAAGAAAAACAAACAAGCCTAAACAAATAATGTTTTTTAAAAATAAGAGTAGTACATACTTTAGATTTCGTTGCCTACTGCAGGACATGTTGTATCATTAGATACCATCTGCTTTACTGTGACACTCTACAATCAATTCAAAGGAAATATAGTCACCATTGGTGTTGGTTTCCAGGTCCTGCAATGTGAATTACCAGGTGCTTCCATAATTGTCAATAACTGGCAGGCACTTAGAAACCAATCCACTTTATTAAGCACATAGTGTATTATACAATTACTGGCTTGGAAGCAGAAATTAATTTCATCAAGAGAAGGGCCCCCTCTACATGTAGGAAGCAATGCAGAAGCCGCATGCAAGCTGCAGTGAGATAAATGGCACTGGTGCATGTCTGGCAGGTTGCTCTCGTATCATAAATGCAAGTGACACAAATGATGAAACAGCGTGGGATGCTTTCTCCTCTTCAACCAAAAGGGCTCACAATGAAACAAAAACAACATACTCCCCTCCACTTACACACCAAAGCATGGTTCTGTTACTATACTGAATTGTTATGGCTACGCAGCATGCACTTGCCCTCCCCCCAACCGACATCAAAGAAGATACAGCATTATTTAAGGGCATATACTGAAAATGTAAGCAGGTGTCACTCTTCAGTAAAAATGTTTCCCTGTTTGTACGAATGGCCCTTCTCACATTTGAAGAGATTTGCATCGTAAGATTTGTCAGGCCAGTGAATGTGCAGTGCTTCAGTCAGCGGCCACTGCCATCGGAGAATGTATTTTGGGCGAGCGAAGCTCCTGAGTGGCCGTCCTCTCTTCTTGCACAATTGATGTTTGACTTCGAAGCTTTGAAGAGAAGAATTCAACAGCCCTTCTGAAACAGAAGGGCCATCTTATTAAGTGGGAGCAAGTCTAATGGGAAAATAATTTTCAAATTAATTCTTTCTTTGTGTTTTTAAAAGCACTGTGGAGTAACTGCAGGAAACCCTAAGCGCTCTGAATGTTTTGGATTATTTATGACTATAATCCAGTACCATTGACCTTTAGAGATGGGCACGAACCTCAATTCAGAGGTCCAGCCCAAACTGTTGCCATGCTCAGTGTTTAGTGCACATGGTGCACTCCCCCTCCCACCTCCCTGCACACTTGCCCATTCCTCAGATGAGATGCGCTTCCCTCCCTGGCTTCCCAGTGTGACTACCTACTCACCTTTTTCAGCATGCTCTTCCCACCTCCACCTCCTCCAACAGCTGCCCACTCCAAGGCACCACTGCAGGATGTGCCAGTTCCCTACAACTTGTTCACTGTTGAACATTACTGACTTCCCTTGGAGCTGCCACCATAAGACCTGGCATAACTCCAATGGCATAAATCTCATTGGTGAATAGGTGCTAGTGACAAAGTTGCCACTTGCATTTCTCATCACACTCTAGTCATACGACTTGGTGGATAACAAGAAATAGAAGTGCAGACTTCTTAACAAGTGGCAGTTTGCCACCAAAGATATTCAGTCACATTCTGGCCATGAGCATTAAGGAAGCAGGCAAATAGGCTACAATCCAGTACAGAATTAAGTAGGCTTAAGTGTTTTGAGATCTATGAATTTATATGGTGAAGTTTGGTTTATTTAACACTTAGTACTTAAAAGCAACAACAGTAACAACAACAATGTGCCATCAAGTCCATTCTGACTTATGGCAACCCTGCTGGAGGTTTCTAGGTGTGCGTGCGTGTGTGTATCTGTGTGTGTGTGTGTCGTGTGTGTGTGTGTGCGTGTGTGTGTGTGTGTAATGCCTATATATGCAGTGGCATTAGATATATCTCCATTATATATATATAAGGGAGATATATATAATGCCACCGTATACAGTATAGGCATTACACAAACACACACATGCACCCCTAGAACCCTCCAGCCTAATGGAAGGTTTTCTATAACATCTGGATGTTGACACACTTACCTGTAAAAGAGTGAGTGTGGCTCATGGCTGTTTTTCTGATCACATTACCAAACAAACTCCTGTTTGCCCACCACCAAAATATGAGTGACTACTCTTCACTGGAACAAGGACTTCTGATTTGCAGTGACTAATATTTAGAAGAGGATACAGAGAACAAAACAGAAGAGTGAATTTCTTAAGTGAGCAGGAAAAAGAATCAACATTTATTTATTAAAACAGAGGTCAGGAATCTATGATTTTCTATGAATCTATGATTTTCTAAATGGATGATAACTCACATCATCCTTGCTCACTGCCAACATTGATTGGGCAAGTGGGAATCTGAACTCAGTTTTCTTGTGTTTTCATCCACTTAGTGACCCTTTGGATCCTTTTCAGTTCCACAGTCCTGATCATTCTGATTCTATGAAAACCTGAAGGGCCATAGATTGCTGACAACTGTACTATCTTTAAGTGTACATATATATAGCCATGACATCTATACATCTATACTATTCTCTCTCTCTCTCTCTCTCTCTCTCTCACACACACACACACACACACACACACACACACACACACACACACACACACACACACACACACACATGTATGTGAGGCAGGTCATCTATTAGTACAAACACATTTGAATGTCTCATGCAATGTATTTTCAAATCTGTGACATTTTTGTGTCCCATCTGCAATATAATGGTCAGATTTAACAGTCCACTGTCATCATCACTGTTGTAGAGCTGCAGAGGCAGAAGGGACCCTATGGATCATTGAGTCCAACCCTGGTCTAGGAGGCACAGTGGAATCAATGTCCACTGAGAGCACACTGGATATTTAAACCATTGGAATTAAGTATAGGGTGTTTCTGAAATTTTATACAGTCATTCCATCAATTTTTATTTTTTTATTTATTGAATTTATATCCCGCCTATCTAGTCAGTTACGACCACTCAAGAAATGGTATCAGAGGCACTTTCTCTCCTAAAGATATTCCAAGAGCTCCATTTGGCCTTCTGATCCTTCAGCCTAATCCTATCAGATGGCAAAATAAGACAAGAAAATTTAGCATCTCCTTAGAAGAGGTTTCCCTTCAAGTGATAAAAGATGCCTATTTGTCATGGCAAAGGATTTTCCTTACCTTTACGTCTTGCATTTAGCTGGCTTTATTTTGTAATTATTCATGAGAAAGTTAACACAATTTTAATTTGTGAAGCTGTTGGCTGAGGCACATATTTCTGACAAAATCCCATTACAGGAGAAAAAAACAGGTTAATCAACTGATTCCTTTTTAATGTGTAGTTTGAACCTAAGTCTCTCCCAGTTAATACTGGTTCCAGCTGCTTCTGTTACCTTTTTCATATGAATTCAGTGGAAGAATGTGCTGTTCCCTAGGGGAGGGCAGAGAAGAGGAATCTGTCTTATTTCTGATATATGAAAAAAGATATTTCATAATCAGAGTGATTAGACTGGAGCTGTGAGGGATCTATAATAGGTCATTTCTGATCAAAATAGGAAACTAAGTACTGTATGTAATTTTGAGGGGGTTACTCCAGTTGTGGGGGTTAATGATGCACACACCTGGGACAGGAGGAGGGGGCAGGTTGTGTGTGTAGATGGAAACTGTAAAGCTAGAGGTGGTGGAGGAGGCTCATGGATTGAACCAGGGTCTGCAGAAACAGAGGTGGGAGACTCAGCAAGGAAAGGAATTAGCTCAACACTGTGCTGATGCCCTCCTTCTTGGCCTCTTTGTGTATGTCCTCAAGAAGGACCCCTGGACTGAGATCCTAATGGAGCCTTGGCTACCTAAAGGGACAGCAAGAATTCAACACCACTCCAAAACCCCGAAGATCTTGGCTGAAGTGTTCAAACCGCAGTCAGCAAGGTTCCCTATCTCCACCACAGTCCATTCAGATGCTGACTCCTATGCTGAAGAGGCGCTAGAGATGACAGCACCAGTGCCAAGGGGAGTACCCATAATGTCTGCAAGCAGAGGTGACTCAGCATCCAGGTGAGCATCTGGGATAGGTTACAAACCTTCCCTGAAGGGAGCCAAGGGGCACAGACTGGGGCAGGGACTTTCGGTCACTCCATGGTTTATATTCAGTGAAGTTAACTGGGGACTGTGAGGAGACTGATGTTGCTCAGGGAGCAGTGCTGGGAAGTCAGCCCCCTGAAGACAGGACTTGTAGGGAGGAGGTTGCTGGTGACGAAACTAGGTCTGTAAATGTTATCTCCCTTTCAGTAAAGTTGGAGTTTCCTCAACCTGCTACGCTGTAGACAATGGATACCTATGCAGGGAAGGGGTTGTCCACCACCCCAAAACTTAGACAGGCGAGCGGCACTTACAGCACTACAGTTCTAGTTTCTACCCACTTGATCCAGCATGGCCAATGGTTAGGGATGATGGGTATTGTTGTAGTTTAACATCTGTAGAGCCAAGGCTTCTCCACACATTTTAACCCAAACATTAGCCCCACAATACTTCTTTGTGCCTATTTTGCTGCTGGTTTTGTACTACTTCTTCTTCTTCTTCTTCTTCTTCTTCTTCTTCTTCTTCTTCTTCTTCTTCTTCTTCTTCATCATCATCATCATCATCATCTCCATCTCCATCTCCATCTCCATCTCCATCTCCATCTTCATTTTCTTCAATTGTGTACTTCATTAACTCTGGAGCTACTTGTCCTTGACCTCTGCTCTTCCTCAGTAGCATGTTGGGTGCCTTCCGACCTGAGGGGCTCATCTTCCAGAGTCATATCTTTTAGCCTTTTGTTTCTGTTCATGGGGTTTTCTTGGCAAAGATACTGAAGTGGCTTGCTAGTTCCTGCTCCATGTGGATCGTGTTTAGTCAGAACTCTCCACTATGACCTGTCCGTGTTGGGTGTCCCTGCACGGCATAGCCCATAGCTTCTGTGAATTACTCAAGCCCCTTCGCCACGACAAGGCACCAACCT